GATTATGATAACTTGATTATATTGATGTGCATGATATTTAAATATATGCATGATATGAAAGGTGATGTTGATGAGAAAGATTATGATGACTTGTTATTATCAATATGATATTCAAGTATATGTATAATGTGGAATATGAAGATGATGCATATGTGATTTATGTTGTCACTTGCATGAGATGTATGTTGCATGTCACGATGAGATTTGCATTAATGAGTGAGTATTGCAAATAAATGATATGCAACTAGTATGATACGGCAAGATTCGTCCACAGTACGGGGTGGGTTGGACATGAAAGGAGGGCTTACAATTCCGAGGTCTTGGAGTCCTCGTCCATAGAATACGCCACATACGCAAAGAAAAGTGACGAGCCGAGGCCGCACTTGCAAGATAATAATTAAAAGACACTAAAACACTGTTTTATGTGTACATGTGATCATTTGCATTAATGAGTGAGTATTGCAAATAAATGATATCCAACTAGTATGATACGGCAAGATTCGTCCACCGTACGGGGTGGGTTGGACAYGAAAGGAGGGCTTGCAATTCCGAGGTCTTGGAGTCCTCGTCCATAGAATACGCTACATACACAAAGAAAAGTGACGAGCCGAGGCCTCACTTGCAAGATAATAATTAAAATACACTAAAACACTGTTTTATGTGTGCATGTGATCATGAAAGCATATTGTATTCACTAAGCTTTTTGCTTATACTATACATGTATATRTCTCAGGTGTCATTTGTCAGTAGACGAGTGAACGAAGAAAGACGGRACTATGTTTTGAATCATGCTTGATTAGATATTTTAATTAGCATTGATTACGTTAAAGTATTTTACGCTTCCGTAATTATGTAACGAATTATGTTAAACATATTATGTGTGTTTGAAATTTTAAGTTCGTATTTTTATCAAGACATAAGTTATTAAGAATGACGTCACGGCACTCGATAGAAAAGAAAAAAAAAAATCGGGACGTGACAGTAAATTTAAAAAATCTATTGAAGATGCTATAAGAATTTTTATTTATAAAATAGATTACATAGGACTTACACTTCTTTTTGTGGTTTTAGCCTTAAAAAAACAAATATTTTTAACATATTTTTAAACATTATAATAGCAGATTATAAAATAATTAAATAACATTTTTATTAATTTATTATTAAAAAACAAATATTTTTAACATATTTTTAATCATTATTATACACAAATCCTACAAAATCCTAACCATTCTCATGGGATTTCAAAATCTCATGTTCGATGGATTTCAAATCCGAGTAATAATGTAAACCAAATATGAGATTAGAATCGTGTAATGTTTTCTGCTTCTCCTTTCAAGCTTCTTTCTATAGCACTTAAAATAGGTAAAATGACGATATTATCCCTAAAATGTAAACAACGATAACAATTAGTGTAATTATTTTATCTTAGGTACAAAATGTTAGTATAGAAACACCCCTCTATAATCTATAGATTATATAATTATCATTAACAATATTTATTTATTCAATAATTATAAAATTCATCGTTAGTTTTGCCTCATCTCTTCCTACTATTTTTTAATTATATAATAATTAAAATATTTGCAATTATCATAAATTATTATTATTGTGACCATTATTTAATTTAAATTTCTTCGATGTAAAGTTGTTAATGTTTTAATTACTTGAATAACAACATTGGTTTTTATCATAAAGTTTTTCAATAATGATATTTTTTCTTTATTTTAAAATTATTAATATATTAATATAATAATATTGATGTTAAAAGACTTCATGAGACCACAAAAAAAGATATTCTTATAAGAACGATCATTGTCGACTTTTAAGAGAGTTATTAATTTAATGATTTGGAAATGAGTTGATCATAAAAACTGCAAAAGAACCTCCATTGGAGATGTTCATCTTTTAGTCGTTTTTCTTTCGAAATTTTAAAAATGTCACTACCTTCGTAAGTAGCAACTCCTGAACTTGCGGAGAGGTCAATGTGTAAAAAAAGTTTATGGACATGATTTGCAGATACATGGACCAAATATGTAAGCCACTTGCAGAAGTATTTAGACTAATTTATAGATTTGATCAATGTATATGTGGACTATATTCAAAAAAATTATTTTTTTAACACTTTGACAACCACAAGTTGAGGAGTTGCTACTTGCGAAAATAGTGACATTTTTTGGAGAAAAAAATGACTAAAAGGTAAATTTGTTTGACAGATTGGCTATTTTGAGTAATTTTCTTTTTTCTCGATTGATCCTTACCAAATTGATCATCACCTCTCTCAATCGATGTATTTTAATAGGATTTAAATATGTTAAACACCGTCGATTACATATTATCGTTTAAATGATGACTAGTTGTGTAATTTAGATGTAAATTTCGTAATGATAATGAATAAATATATGAATTGTATAAATTTACCTACAAATTCAACACGACACAGTCGTAGATTTTTTGTTGGGAGGTTTTTCAGGAAATTACATTTAAAAAAATCATATTTAATTGATTTTGCAGATGTTTTATTAGTTTTATATACCAACAGACATAATTTAATTAATTATACTTAAAGAAATAACGTAACATAAAGACATAATTAAAGTAATTATATT